ATTATTATTATTATTATTATTATTATTATTATTATTATTATTATTATTATTATTTCCGTGCTATTTTTTACAAATGGAAAATGTCAAACAGGAGCTGAGGACGAGGGGACCAGCAGCGGTTCCCCCTCCTCTCCCTGAGGGGGCTGGAAACCTCCACGTGTTTGTTTGGATTCCAAAACCAGAGGAACAGCTTTTTTTTTGGGGGGGTGGAAATTTGGAAATCGATGACAAGCTGTCAAGTCGTGTCTTCCTCTGCCTTCCCTGCGCCTCCCGCAGAGCTGAGCTGGATTAAAGCCTGGATTTAGGGTTGGGACAAAGGGCTGTGGGTGTTGCCAGCAGTGATTGGGGACAGTTTGTGTGTTGGCTGCTGGTCTTGGGGTTTTGGGGGGCAGCTCTTCCCCCACCCCAGGCCAGAGTGAAATGGTTCAAATGTGAAATTTAGTGGTGTTTGTCCCCAAATCCACCTGCCCAGAGGGATCTCCATGCTGGGAGTCATCCTCCCAACCCCAGGGAATTTCCACCTCGGGGGATGTCCTCCCACCCCAAGGAACCTTTATCCTGGGGGATGTTGTCCCATCTCAGGGGATCTCCATCCCGAGGGACATCCATCCACCCCAAGGGAGCTCCATCCTAGGGAATGTCCAGCCACCCCAGGGAATCTCCATCCCGGAGAATCCTGAGATCCTCATCCGTGGAGGATCCTGCCACCTCAGACAGCCCCTCATCCTGGGGGCATCCTCCCAGCTCCAAGGACATCCTCCCACCCCAGGAAATCTCCATCCTGGGGGACATCCATCCACCCCAAAGAACTTCCATCCTGGAGGATCCCAAGATCCTCATCCATAGAGGATCCTCCCAGGCAGCCATCAGTAGGATGAGAGAGCTCAGTCTTAAGCTGTGCCAGGGGAGGTTTAGGTTGGATATCAGGAAGAATTTCTTTCCAGAGAGGGTGCTCAGCTATTGGAATGGGCTGCCCAGGGAGGGGGTGGAGTCACCATCCCTGGAGGTTTTTAGGATGAGACTGGATGTGGCATCAGTGCCATGGGCTGGGAACCACAGCAGGGTTGGATCAAAGGTTGGACTTGATGATCTCAGAGGTCTTTTCCAACCAGGCTGATTCTGAGATTCTGTGATCTCAGGTGACCTCCATCCAGGGAGGGTCACCCTCCCACCCAGGAAACCTCCATTCTGGGGGACATCCATCCATCCATCCCAAAGGGCCTCCACCCCTGGAGGATCCTGAGATCCTCATCCCTAGAGGATCCTCCCATCTCGGGTGACCTCCATCCTGCGGGACATCCACCCACCCCAAGGCACCTCCACCCAGGGATGGATCCTCATCCATAGAGGATCCTCCCATCTCAGGTCACCTCTATCCTGTGGGACATCCACCCACCCATCTCACGGCCCCTCCATCCACAGGGAGGGTCACCCTCCCCCCCAGAAAACCTCCATCCTGAGGGACATCCATCCATCCATCCACCCCAAAGTACCTCCACCCTGGAGGATCCTGAGATCCTCATCCCTAGAGGATCCTCCCATCTCAGGTCACCTCCATCTTGTGGGACATCCACCCACCCCAAGGCACCTCCATCCACAGGGGGGTCACCCTCCCGTCCCAGAAAACCCCCATCCAACACCCACCATCCAACACCCCCCCCTCCAGGGGTATCCCCCCGCCCTCTAACCCCTCTCCCTTCCCTTGCAGACAGCAGCCTGCTGGAGAGCTACACCGAGGGCGAGATCCGCCAGCTCGTCTCGGCGCTGGTGGAGCGCTACAGCCAGGCCATGAACTCGGGGGGCCACGAGCTGCCGCTCTTCCCTCGGGCCGGCAGCCGCCGCAAGCGTGCCCGCGCCCGCCACAAACCCTGCGAGCTGCGGGAGCTGGAGGTGAGCGTCAGCGAGCTGGGCCTGGGCTACGAGTCGGACGAGACGGTGCTTTTCCGCTACTGCAGCGGCACCTGCGAGGCCGCCGTGCGCAGCTACGACCTGTCGCTGAAGAGCATGAGGAGCCGCCGCAGGATCCGCCGGGAGAAGGTGAGGGCCAGGCCCTGCTGTCGCCCGCTGGCCTACGACGACGACGTGTCCTTCCTGGACGCCTACAACCGCTACTACACCGTCAACGAGCTCTCGGCCAAGGCGTGCGGCTGCGTGTGAGGCGCCGGGGACGTCCCCACACGAGGGGAGAGGGAGGGAAGAGGCGACGCCCCAGCGCCCGAACCTCGCCGGGCTGACGGCGGGAAGAGCGGGATGGAGTCCGGAGCGGCTGGAGGAGGAGGAGGGACTGAGCCGCTGGCGCATCCCAAGGACTACAGACACGGAGGTCATCGGAGCGGTGACGGCTGCCTGGGGCTGTTGTCCCCCCCTAGGAGGTGGCCCAGGGGTCCTTGTGAGCCCCTCCAGGGGTGACCCAGGGGTCCCTGTTGCCCCCCTCCCAGAGGTGACAGCGGGTGTGTGGCGTGCACGGGACACGTCCTACGCTCGGGGTTCAATGTCACCCGTGTCACACCCGCCGGGTCGCGTCACCTGCCCGGGGGTGGGGGTGTCACAAGGTGGGTGTCCCCTGCACGGGGTGGTCCCCACGTGCCAGGGGTTCCGTGTTGGGTGTGTGGCACACGCCGGTGCTGTGATGGTGAGCAGGGGTTGGTGTGGGGGTGTTGCTGCACGTGGAGTGGTGCCGGTGGTGTGTGGGGCTGGACGGGGTGTGCTGAACACACAGGGTGTTTTGGGGTGTCCAGCACACACGCTGTGTGTTTTAGGGGGTGCAACACACACACAGTGAGTGTTTTGGGGTGTCCAGCACTCACAGTGAGTGTTTTGGGGTGTGCTGAACGCACAGTGTGTTTTGGGGTGTCCAGCACACACACTGTGTGTTTTAGGGGGTGCAGTACACACAGAGTGTGTTATAGGGTGTGCTGTTATAGGGCGTGTGATTTGGGGTGTCCAGCACACACGGTGAGTGTTTTGGGGTGTCCAGCAGACACACAGTGTTTTTTGGGGTGTGCTGAACACACAGGTGTGTTATAGGGTGTGCTGTTATAGGGTGTGTGTTTTGGGGGGTGCAGCACACACAGTGAGTGTTTTGGGGTGTGCAGCACACACAGTGTGTTTTGGGGGGTCCAGCACACACAGAGAGTGTTTTGGGGTGTGCTGAACACACAGGGTGTGTTATAGGGTGTGCTGTTAGAGGCTGTGTGTTTTAGGGGGTGCAGCACACACAGTGAGTGTTTTGGGGTGTCCAGCACACACAGGGAGTGTTTTGGGGTGTGCTGAACACACAGGGTGTGTTATAGGGTGTGCTGTTAGAGGGTGTGTGTTTTGGGGGGTGCAGCACACACAGTGTGTGTTTTAGGGGGTGCAGCATACGCAGTGTTTTGGGGTGTCCAGCACACACAGTGAGTGTTTTGGGGTGTCCAGCACACACAGGGAGTGTTTTGGGGTGCATTCCAGGCGTGTCACACAGCTGCAGGTGCCCTGTGCCACCCCGGCTCAGGGGCTGAGGCCCTGCACTTTGCATCTGGGGTGGGTCCCCAGAGTTTTGTGACCTCCCTTCTGTGCCAGGGGCAATTCAGCCCCCAGATCCCCCTGTTTGGGGGCACAAAAGCACGGGCAGTGGTTTGTGAGAGGCTCTGGCTCCGCTCCCCGCTCGTGCCCCTTTTGCCATCGTCTCATTCCCGCAGCCCCGGGGCTTTGCTTCTTAAAACTCGGGATAATCTGAATAACTGGATTAACCTCCCGTGCCCCCGCCACGGGCAGCTGGGCCGGAGCCCAGGGAGATGACACGACCTCGCCGGGGCCACCAGCAGAGCGGTGGCACTTCCCGGCGTGGGCAGGAGCGTTCCTGGTTTGGCGTCTCCCAAAAATCCACTCTCGGCTCTCCCGGGAGCATCCCCCCAGCACCGGGAATGGTGCAGGAGAAGGGATTGGGGCCTGGCTTTGGCTCCCCTCGCATTTACAGCAGTGTCACTGCTGTTTACTCTGCGGGGAGATAAACGAGCCCGCAGACTTTCCCGTTCCCTGGGCAGGCTCGATTTGTTGCCTGGGATTGATGGGGTTTTTTTTTCTCCCCTTGGCTCCCTTCCCAGAAAAAGCAAATCATAAACAGAAGGAGAATATTGGTGTCATGTCCTGGGCATTAACCAACGCCAGGGAAAACGCTCCGTGTGCAGCCCTCCTCTGTCACGGAGTCATCCCAGCTCCAGAGAAACAGGGGGGAAAATTCCATGTACCTTCATCCCCAGGTGGAGGAGGGCTTTGTGTTGGTGATCCCGGCAGCCCAGGGATGGTGCTGCAGGATTTGGGGCAGCAGGGGAAGCATCCCAAGGATGGGATGAGATGGGATGGGAGAGCTGTGTGTGACCGGCCTCATTCCCGACCTCCACAAAGGGGCAGGATTTAGGGGATCAGGTTGGTGTCCCCTGGGATGGGATGGGATGGGATGGGATGGGATGGGATGGGAAGAAGCATCTCCTGCGTGCGAGCAGCCGCATTCCTGACCTCCACAACGGGCCAGGCTGGTGGGTCTTTTTTTTTTTTTCCTTGCTTTTCATCCCAACGTGGCTCTTGGCTGAGCGGAGCCAGGATGCAGTGAAGGAATATAAACACCATCCTTCAGCGGGGCTGGCAGCCTGCACTCTGTAACACCGAGTTTTCCCTGCACTTTGGGAAAAGGAGGAGGCAGCTGAGGGGGTGTGGGAGGGGTGAACCCCCCCCCAGGGGTGAACCTGCATCCCGGGAATGGGAATGTGGCTGGAAAAGCAGATAAACCCCACACTGCAGGGGCAGGGAGATCCCCAACCGAGGTGGGTTTGCACCCCTGGGTTTGGCTGGAAATGGGAAAAGTGGCACAAAATAATCAGCTGGGGGATGGGAACAGCAGCAGGGCAGCGGGAGCAGCTCCAGGCTCACGGAGGATCAGCGGCTCAGTCCGGACTTTGAGGGAAAAAAGCACCCAAATCTAATAATAACAATAATAATAATAATAACGGGCCTCTCAAGGGCTTGGGTGCTTTCCAGGTCTCGCTGCCATAAAACTAAAATTAGTTTTGTTGCAGAAGCCTCCAGTAAAAAAAAAAAAATAAAACAAAACAGCAAAAAAAAAAGGGAACTGGAGCAATAAAGGCAGGGAAGGTGTTGTGGAAGCAGAGCAGGACCCGACACCTCCAAGGAGGATTTGGAGCAGGAGCTGCCTCTGCTCGCAGGACCCTGTGCCCAAGGGAGTGCTGGAGCGTTTGCACCCTGGTTTGGGACATTTTGGGGCAGAATTTAGGGATTTAGGGAGCCTTGCTTGGCAGGCACCCGGCCAAGGGCCCCTCCTCTCACCAGGATGGTGGTGGGAGCAGCAGGAAGACGAGGGGACACGGGAGCAGGTGGAGAAGGCTCAGGGTGGGACATCTCCCAGCTGTCAACCCCCCCCCAGGTGCCCCATTCCCAGGAAAAACCCAGCTTGGAACCCCCAAAAGTTGGGAAGAAAAGCTGACTCAAAGCAACGGTGTGTTAAACCAACAGGAATCGCTCCAATCCATCATTTTTTGCTGGATTTCACCCTGCTGGCACCAGAGGGGACGTCCCCCCCTCTGCCACACGCTGCTCCTGATGCTTTTTTTTGGGGGGGGGAGCAGCTGGGATTTGGAACCACAAAAAAAAAATCCCTGGTGGGGTCTTGGGGTGAGCTGGGGCACCGTGGTGTGGCCAAAAGGGTGGATTCTGCTTCCGTGTCTTCCTCGGGGCTCCTCCGGCTCCGCCGGTGCCATCCCACGTCACTGCTCGGCCCTGGAAATGTGGTTCCAATAGGTTTTTCCCTAATGCTTTCCATTTCTCCAGCCCTCTCTGCTGTAATAGGAGCTGGAGCTGTCCAGAAGAATGCCTACAGTGCAGAAAGGGGGGGGAAAAAAAAAAAAGATGGAAAATTCCCTGCTCAAAGCTGGAGCAGGATCTCATCCGGCTCCTTCCTCCTCCTCCCACGTGTTAGTTCATATTAATATTCATATTAATAATAATAATAATAACAACCCGTGAGCAACATCTGTCAGGGAGGATTTGGGGGGTGGCTTTTGCCTCTCTGGAGCTGCAGCTTTGCCGTTCCCAGCCCGGGAGAGGAGGGGTTGGGAAAAGGGGAGCTTTGGAAACACGAGGAGATGTTTAAAATCGTGTGACAGAGGCGAGGATGAGTGGGGGGTTCTCCCAGCTCCAGGATCCCGCTGGGGAGGAGTTGTTTCCCCAGTTTATCCAGGGGAATTGTGTTTTGGTGGTGTTTAAAGCCGTGGTTTTCTTCCCGTTGGGAAGAGGGAGTGGGGTTGGGAAGAGGGAATGGGGTTGGGAAGAGGGAATGGGGT